GTGTGTAGGTGTGTGTGTGTGTGTGTGTGTGTGTGTGTGTGTGTGTGTGTGTGTGTGTGTGTGTGTGTGTGTGTGTGTGTGTGTGTGTGTGTGTGTGTGTGTGTGAGAGTGTGTGTGTGTGTGATGTATACTGTGTATTGATTATCGTTGACGTTGCTATAGTTACCACCGATCAGCCTAATAAAGTAAAAACGCACACGTTCTCGTACTACGAAACTCGACTGTTCCCTTGTTTCATTTACGTTTTCTCCCCACATCGCGATTGTAACGCCGTGTAGCGGCGAACGTGCGCATTACACTCGGCACGAAATTCAAGTTGACGATGATGACGATGACGATGACGACGACGATGACGACGACGATGACGACGACGATGACGATGACGATGGCGATGACGATGACGATGACGATGACGACGATGACGATGACGACTATGACGATGACGATGACGACGTGAGGATGATGATTGAAGCGGCAATGGGTTTTGTTTCATGTCTGAACAGGATTGCATTGCAATGTTACAGGTAGCGCGAGCATGCTGCGTGTGGTGATGATACCATGGAACTCACGCCACAGTATGATGATCTGATACGGACGGTAACGTGGCAACACGACAGCATGGCGTGCACAGCTGCATCCGTGTTGTCTATGGATACACGCGCCATAGTGTCGATATCGTGTCTATATATCGTGGTGATATCCTATTGATAGTTGTATCAATATCATGTCTATATCGTGTTGATATCATATTGATAATCGCGTCGATATCATGTCTATATATCGGGTCGATATCACATTGATAATCGTGTCGATATCGTGTCGATATTATGTCTATCTCGTGTTGATATCATATTGATAATCGTGTCTATATCATGTCCATATCTTGTAGATATCATGTCTATATCGTGTCGATATCATATTGATAATCGTGTCGATATCATGTCTATCTCGTGTTGATATCATATTGATAATCGTGTCGATATCATGTCTATATCGTGTCGATATCATGTCTATATCGTGTTGATATCATACTGATAATCGTGTCGATATCATGTCTATATCGTGTCGATATCATGTTGATAATCGTGTCGATATCATGTCTATATTGTGTCGATATCCTATTGATTGATATGGACGGTAACGTGGCAACACGACAGCATGGCGTGCACAGCTACATCCGTGTTGTCTATAAATACACGCACCATAGTGTCGATATCGTGTCGATATCGTGTCGATATCGTGTCGATATCCTATTGATAATCATGTCGATATCGTGCCTATATCATGTCTATCTCGTGTTGATATCATGTTGATAATCGTGTCGATATCATGTCTATATATCGGGTCGATATCACATTGATAATCGTGTCGATATCGTACCTATATCATGTCTATCTCGTGTTGATATCATATTGATAATCGTGTCGATATCATGTCTATATCGTGTCGATATCATGTCTATATAGTGTCGATATCATGTCTATATTGTCTCGATATCATGTCTATATCGTGTCAATATCATGTCTATCTCGTGTTGATATCATGTTGATAATCGTGTCGATATCATGTCTATACCGTGTCGATATCATATTGATAATCGTGTCGATATCATGTCTATATCATGTCGATATCATGTATAAAATTATGTCGTGTCGATATCATATTAATAATCGTGTCGATATCATGTCTATATCGTGTCGATATCATGTATAAAATTATATCGTGTCGATATCATATTGATAATCGTGTCGATATCATATGTCTATCTCGTGTTGATATCATGTCTATCTCGTGTTGATATCATATTGATAATCGTGTCGATATCATGTCTATATCGTGTCGATATCATGTCTATCTCGTGTTGATATCATATTGATAATCGTGTCGATATCATGTCTATATCGTGTCGATATCATATTGATAATCGTGTTGATATCATGTCTATTTCGTGTCGATATCATGTATAAAATTATATCGTGTCGATATCATATTGATAATCGTGTCGATATTATGTCTATATTTTATCGGTATCATGTCGATATTGTGTCGATATCTTTTCAATATATGTGTAATATAACATATCTCGGGTGTTGCCAAACGAACGCGCATGCAGGGCCCTCTGGCGGCATGTTTGCGCAGCTTCGTGCATGTTGACTATGTACACGAGGAGGATATATAGTTGAGATGAGATAGATTGTTGAGATGAGCTAGATAGTTGAGATGAGATAGATAGTTGAGATGAGATATATAGTTGAGATGAGATAGATAGTTGAGATGAGATAGATAGTTGAGATGAGATAGATAGTTGAGATGAGATAGATAGTTGAGATGAGATAGATAGTTGAGATGAGATATATAGTTGAGAGGAGATAGATAGTCGAGATGAGATAGATAGTTGAGATGAGATAGATAGTTGAGATGAGATAGATAGTTGAGATGAGATAGATAGTTGAGATGAGATAAATAGTTGAGATGAGATAGATAGTTGAGTGAGATATATAGTTGAGATGAGATAGATAGTTGAGATGAGATAGATAGTTGAGATGAGATAGCTAGTTGAGAGAGATAGATAGTTGAGATGAGATAGATAGTCCAGATGAGATAGATATATGAGATAGATAGTTGAGATTAGATAGATAGTTGAGATGAGATAGATAGTTGAGATGAAATAGATAGTTGAGATGAGATAGATAGTCGGGATGAGATAGATAGTTGAGATGAGATAGATAGTCGGGATGAGATAGATAGTTGAGATGAGATAGATAGTTGAGATGAGATAGATAGTCGAGATGAGATAGATAGTTGAGATGAGATAGATAGTTGAGATGAGATAGATAGTTGAGATAAGATAGATAGTCGAGATAAGGTAGATAGTTGAGATGAGATAGATAGTAGAGATGAGATAGATAGTTGAGATGAGATAGATAGTTGAGACGAGATAGATAGCTCTTTCCGCTTTTGCTCACCCTCCCTCTCTCCACACCTAGTGTACTATATAGATGTGACTGTTCTTGCTTGCGCGCACCCTCCCACTCCCCGCATGTAACTGCACTATAGATGAGGCTATTCCATTCTGCGCGCAGCCTCCCTCTCCCAGCACCTTGACCATGAATGTAGCTCTTCCATCTTGCGCGCACCCTCCCCATCTTCATGTCCCCCCCGCTCTAGCTGACATGATGACTCACTGCGGTAAATTCGTTCGTTCTTTCAGGTTACATGTTTACTGCTTCCATCTGCAAGCTGGTCACGTGGCTCCAAGCCGTCAGCGTCACGGTCTCCATATACACTCTCGTCGCTATATCTCTGGAGAGGTAGGTGGCGCCACAGTCGCGAGGAGGATGCGATTATTAATACAGCGAAATTATACAGACAAAGTATATATAATTGGCGTAAAATTATTAATAATTATTATAAGGGAGGTTGTAATTTTATATCGTAGCAGAACATATTATATGGCGGCTGTATAAGTTTCGCTGTTGTTTTATTAATAGAGTGTTGCAGATGTTGTTATCAATATCACTCACGTTATTGTTGTAGATTTCTGTATAGTCATGTTGTTCCGGTATTTTTAGAAATAGTTTCAAAAGGGAGTGTAATAATATATCGTGTCGTAACGTTATATATATATATATATCTAGTGTAGTATAGTGATATATATATATATATATATTATATATATAGTGGTTTCCGCCTGCATTGACACGAGCGAGGTGTGGCGCCGCCTTGCTCAAATTCTCGGCTGCCATACAGAAATTTGTCCAAAACACCGCCCTCGCGAGTGAACCCTCTGACAACTCGAAAGGAAATCTAAGAGTCTCATACAATGTGTTCAGAATAGCCTAGAATGCACCAATTGCACCATTTTTTCAATAATCTCCCGTGGAGCATGCCCTAGTTTGGCCGCGCACCTGCGCTGCTCGCTTTGCTACGACCTCTAAACGCACAAACACCACAAAAAAATTTACCACCTTACAGACCTTTTTGGCCACGGAGGAAACAATGTATATATATATATATAATATATAAATATATATATATAGCGTGTTTATGTGTGTGTTTACCTTGAGTTACCTTGTAGCAAACTCACTATTCTGTCTACGTGATAACCCGGTGCTGCCACTTATCTGCTGACCCCGCCTCAGCCTGTGTTCCAAAATCTCCTGCGGAAGTTGCATTAACAGTGACTCACTAACAGTCTCCAGGCCCGTAGGCAGTTTTGTTTACGGGAGGGTGTGATCTAACGAGTATACGTACCGAAAGAGCGCCGGAGCCGCCAGTCTCTATAGGGGTCCGGGGGCATGCCCCCTCGGAAAATTTTGAAAATTAGGTTGTCTGAGACTGCATTTCGCGCGTTTTGAAGGCAAAACAGGCAGCCAAAAGCGAACCTCAAAACGTGGACATTTCCCAAATTTTTGAACTTTAAAATGGATTTTTCCCACAAAAAAGTGGACCTCTACAGCCTGTGGGGCATCCGTCGCACCCCCCTCCCTACGGGCCTGGTCTCGCGAGTACTATTCAAAGTGAAATTATGCTGCTCCACTTCCTAGCCCGCACGTCTTCGCGTCTATTTCGGGACTGTTAAAGTTGTCGGCAACAGGGCGAAGATTTAAGTGGGTGAAAAGACGAGGATTGCGTGACAACGGGGAATGGAAAACATCCAACTGCTAACCTGACGATTTCTGTAAATGGTTTACTGTCCGCGGCACCTCTAAACACGATTACAGTTTTATTTGCGTCTGCCTCGATCTTAGGAAGAGGGAGTGGGTGGGGGGGAGGGGGTGTTGGGAAGGAACGCGCGTCATCGCCATAGCAACCCCGTTGCAATTTAGCGAGACCCGCCATCTTTGATTTTCGTCGCCAGGTATATCGCCATCTGTCATTGCATGACCAGCGTCAAGATGATAACGAACGCCGCCGGCGGCGCTACCGTCGCCGTCACGTGGGCCGGCGCCGCTCTGCTCTTCCTTCCTTGGCTCGTCAACTACACGGTGACGTCGACCGTCGACGGGCGCCACCTGGTGACGACGTGCGGCGACGCGTCGGCGGGACACGTCTGGTTCTTCGTCGCCGTCGTTTTCTCTCTCTGCTACTGCGCGCCGCTCGTCTGCATCGGCGTCTGCTACGCGAGCATCGCCGCGCACGTGTGGCGCCGCCGCGTGCCCGGCGAGAGCGCGCGCACGCACGAGCGCGCCACCCAGCGGCAGAAGATCCGACTCGCGAAGATGGTCGCCGTCGTCGTCGCGCTGTTCGCGCTCTCCTGGCTCCCCCTGTACGCGGTCTTCATCGGCTACTACGCGGGCGCCATCTTGGAGTCTCACGCGCTGCACGTCGCCGTGCCGTTCCTGCAGTGGCTCACCGTCAGTAACTCCGCTGTCAACCCCGTGCTCTACGCTTGGCTCAATGCCAAGTATCGCCGCGGGTTCGCACTGCTGCTGACCAGCCGGCAGTGTTGCGGACACCTCCGCTGGGAGAACAACCGTCTGTCGTCGTCGTCGTCGACGACGAGGACTAACCGCGACGCGTCGGCAAAGATATACGCGTCGGCGAGGCAGTGCAGCTCGCGTGTATAGCGTAGCGTAGCTGGCGCCGCCGCAGCATGCGTTGCCGGAGAGACAAGAGTGACGGGATGACATGCATGCCTGCCACCTGGTGGCGAGATGCGGCACTCTGCTGTAATCTGACGGGGTGTGTTCGCAGCGGCCCGTTTTTTTGCATTTTGGCACGAGAGGGCGCTGCACGATGGCGGCTTATTATGGGATAGCACGCGTACTGCACTTACCCCATGGGAATTTGCACAGCATTTTTGCGGTGGTATGAAGATAACATCAATGACGTACTCGTTGTTAATTAATATCTTGAAATAAATACTATGTTGATGAAGGAATTTAAATAAAACTAACATGTCATTAATTATTCGCAGTGACTGGTTTTTGCAGGTATATCGGCACGCATAGCTGCATGTAGTGAGTTCATGAGCTTTCACGCAATTGTGAGTAAACCGCCACCACACACACGGGCTTTAAAACCGCTAGCTACGCTTTGCTTTTGAATTTTTGCTAACCACATTGACCACGATTGACACTTGCTAACCACCACACTTCTCATAATTGCATACCGTTGGTATATATATATATATATATATATATATATATATATATATATATATATATATATATATATATATATTAACTATATATATATAATATATATAATATTATATAAATATATATATTTATATATTAGTATATTACTTATATTATTTAATATTATATTAATATATATAGTATAATTATATTTACACTCTACAACATCGGTAATATTGTTTTACGATGACTTAGCATTGAACCTTCAATTATAGTTCTGTTTATTTCTGCAGAGAAAGTTCAGATCTGCCGTCATAGCAACCGTGGCAGTGAGAAACCTTAGATTACAGCAGCGTTCGCAAGATAGCGCCACACGCCGCGAGCAGCACGATATGGTGTGACGTCAGGGCGACGCAGACGGCCACCCGGTGACCCGGATGACTGCGACGCTCACCAGCCGACTCCAGTGATCTCATAGTGTGACACAAAACAGTATAAAGTAATAACTTTAGGAAGAAAGAGGAGGGGAAGAGATCACGGACGAATAACGCACTATAGACACTAGTAGGAGAATCATGATATATGACCTGAATTCAATAGCGCTCGCACAGTGAATTGATGCACATGTTCCTCGGTTGGAAAGGTATTACTACTACTACTACTACTACTACTACTACTAGCCTTGATATAGCTCCAAGAAACGGTATTGCTAGGGTTAGAAGACAATCGGTTATAGACAATCGGTCGCACAGCCTGGTCGGGCTAGCCTAGATACAATAATGTAACCCAACAAGAGTAGGGTTACAACTACTCTTGTTGAGTTACATTATTGTATCTACTACTAGCCTACAACTTGCATAAGGCAGTGGCTGGAGGTACGGCAGCCATATCTCTAATTTACGAAGCTGGAGGTACGTCAGTCCATTCGCTTTCATACTGAAAGAGACAAAGATGGCGGCGGATGGCGGCAGGTTTCGAAATAACGCCTTGGGAAATAAATTCACGATTTGAGAGTTTTGATGAGCTAGAAAAACTCGGATTACGTATGAAAATGAACATTATTGTAAACTTTACATCAGAAGATCGCAAATAATTGCCTCAGCCCTCAAACAAACGCCAAAAAGGGGCTTCCACGAACGACGGCTGCCGTACATCCATGCAGCCACTCCGTTACTACAATGTATTACTACAGTACTACTATTAGTATTACTACTGTATTACTATTAGTACTACTACTAGTATTACTATAGTATTACGTTGTCATCACGTATTTCGATTCAGTGAAAGCGGGTGCTGGCAAATCAGCCAATAAGCGTCGATTGTGGCGGAAAAATCATATCCTCGGTGTGTGTGTGTGTGTGTGTGTGTGTGTGTGTGTGTGTGTGTGTGTGTGTGTGTGTGTGTGTGTGTGCGTGCCTAAGTGCGAGTTTTACATAGGCCCTACAGCAGTATTACTCTGCAGTAGCTATACTGTACGGCTTCTCTCTCTCGCTTCCTCTCTCTCTCTCTCTCTCTCTCTCTCTCTCTCTCTCTTTCTCGCTATCTCTCTTTCGCTCTCTCTCTCCCTCTCTCTCTCTCCGCTGAGACACGAACGCAGAGAGAGAGGGGGAAGTGAGAGAGGGGGAGGGAGAGAGAGAGAAAGAGAGAGAGGGGGAGAGAGAGAGAAAGAGAGAG